GGGCCGCACCGGCGGCTTGGGCGCGGCGGGCAGGGACACGTTCCAGGCGCCCAGGATGTCCCAGTGGCCGCAGCGGGGGCCCAGCAGCAGCCCGCAGGCCTCGGGCGGGCGCAGCACGGAGCGAGCCCAGGCGGCCACCACGTCGCCCTGGAAGAGCTGCACGGCCTGGCGGCACACGGGCGGCCGCGCCAGCCGCAGCTCCTGGCACAGCCGCGACGCCACGCGCCCCACGCGGGCCACGTTCGGCTCCAGCTGCAGGGGATGGACACTGGGGATAGCCCCGGCACCCCGACCGCCGGACACCCCCGCTGGCCTCCCCCTCGGCTGCCCAGGACAGACCCCGCGCACCGAACCCAGCTGCTGTCACTGCCTGCGCCCATCAACACCCTCGGGATGGGAATGGCACCGCCGGGATGGGAACGGCACCCCCGGGATGGGCACGGCACCCCCGGGACGGGAACGGCACCCCCGGGACGGGAACGGCACCCCCGGGATGGGCACGGCACCGCCGGGACGGGAACGGCACCCCCGGGATGGGCACGGCACGGCCGGGACGGGAACGGCACCCCCGGGATGGGCACGGCACCCCCGGGACGGGAACGGCACCCCCGGGACGGGAACGGCACCGCCGGGATGGGAACGGCACCCCCGGGATGGGCACGGCACCGCCGGGATGGGAACGGCACTGCCGGGATGGGCACGGCACGGCCGGGACGGGAATGGCACCCCCGGGATGGGCACGGCACCGCCGGGATGGGAACGGCACCGCCGGGATGGGCAGGGGATCCCCGGGATGGGCACGGCACCCCGGCTGCCATCACTGTACCCCTGGCTCTGTCACTGTCCCACAACCCCCGGCCCACTCAGCTGGATCTCCCGAGGCCAGAAGGGTCCCACCCGGTCCCGCAGCCCCTCCGGTCCCCAGCCCGTGCCCTCCTCCCTCCTTTCCCCTGCCGCCCCCGCCCGTCCGTGCCCCGGTTCCTGTTCCTGTCCCAGCCGGTCCCCGCTCCCCCGGGCGGAGCCGCTGGCACGGCCCCGCCCGTCCCCGCCCGCCCTGTCCCCATTCCCGACCCGGTCTCGTGTCTGTCACAAGCCCCGACCTGCCCTGGCCTGTCCCGGCCCCGGCCCGTCACGAGGGACTGGCCCGGCCTGTCCCTGTCCCTATTCCTGTCCTGTCCCTGTCCCTGTCCTGTCCCGTCCCTGTCCCTATTCCTGTCCTGTCCCTGTCCCTGTCCTGTCCCTGTCCCTGTCCCTGTCCTGTCCCTGTCCCTGTCCCTGTCCCGTCCCCGGTGTCCCCGCTCCTGTCGCCCCCGCTCCTCCCGTCCCGGTGTCCCGGTGCCCCGGTGCCCCGTGCCCACCTGCAGCGCCAGGTCCAGCGCCCCGAAGAGCACCCGGCAGGCCGGGCACGACACGTTCCGCCAGCCCCAGCGCGGCGCCGCCGCCGCCAGCTGCTGCTCGGGGCCGGGCGAGCCCGCGGCCACCGGCAGCGCCAGCAGCCTCGGGGGCGGGGCCGCGCGCTGCCATTTATGGGCGAGGGGCGGGGCAAGGACGCAAAGGGGAAGGGCAAGGTCGGGACAGGGCCCGCCCCCGGCGCCAGGCCGAGCGGGGCGGGGGCGTGGCCTCCAGGGGGCGCGGCCAATGTCAGCGGGGATGGGGCGTGGCCTCCAGGGGCGGGGAGCCGTATGCAAATGAGGGTGCCGGGCTGCGTAAGGCGCGCGGGGCACGATGGGAGATGGAGTCTTGGGGCTGGCGGCGCTCCCCGGGGTCCCCTCCCCTGGGTACGGTCACAGCCCCCCCAGGACGGTCACCCCCGCACGGCCACCCCCGCACGGCCACCCCCGGGCGGCATTGGGTGCACCGGGCCGGGGCTCCCTGCCCCCCAGCTGCCGCCGCTCCCGCCGCGGAGGGTCCCAGTCCGCAGCCCCCGAGCCTCGCGCGGCGCCGACCCCTCGTCCCGCCCGGTTCTGCCCCGCGGAGCCTCCGTGCCGGCGGGCAGGAGCGCTGGGAGCAGCGGCGCAGCTGGGCACGGGGACAGTTTATTGTGACCGTAGCCGGGGAGCAGCGCGGGGAGACTCCGGGCTGGGCTGGGCTGGGCTGAACCGGGCTGGGCTGGGCTGAGCCGGGCTGGGCTGGGCTGAGCCGGGCTGAGCTGAGCTGAGCTGGGCTGGGCTGGGCTGGGCTGGGCTGAACCGGGCTGGGCTGGGCTGAGCCGGGCTGGGCTGGGCTGAGCCGGGCTGAGCTGAGCTGAGCTGGGCTGGGCTGGGCTGGGCTGGGCTGAACCGGGCTGGGCTGGGCTGAGCCGGGCTGGGCTGGGCTGAGCCGGGCTGAGCTGAGCTGAGCTGGGCTGGGCTGGGCTGGGCTGGGCTGAACCGGGCTGGGCTGGGCTGAGCCGGGCTGGGCTGGGCTGAGCCGGGCTGAGCTGAGCTGAGCTGGGCTGGGCTGGGCTGGGCTGAACTGGGCTGAGCTGAGCTGGGCTGCCCCGACCCCCCTCAGCCTCCCCCCTGCCCGGGCCGGGGCTCCTCCTGCCCCCCCAGCCGGGGCTCAGGGATGGGCTGGGCGTGCTGGGCCAGGGGGTCCCGGGGGGGCGGGCGGCTCGGGGTGCACCGGAGCAGGGCACGGGGCTGCTGGCAGGGCAGGGGGTCATGCTGGGGGTGTCCAGCTCGGGGTGCCAGGCACTGTGTTGGGGGGCCCAAGGGGGGCTAGGTCGGGGGTCCCAGGCTGCTGAGGAAGGTGTAGCTGAGCGGAGAGAAAGGTGCTGGCCATGGGGGCTCGGGGGGCGGCTCAGGGGGGCCCCAGGCTGCTGACGGTGGTGTAGCTGAACTTGGAGAGCGAGGCGCTGGCCATGGGGGGCTCGTCCTCGGGCGGGCGGCGGGGGCAGGCGCGGCGGCAGCCCCAGCCCGCGCAGGTGGCCCCGAAGGCCTTGCGGAAGCGGCGGTTCATGAAGCAGTAGATGAGGGGGTTGGCGCAGGCCGAGGTGTAGGACAGCAGGTGGATGAAGGCGATGGGGGTGCCCGAGAGCGCCCGCTGGGCCGCCCGCGGGGCGAAGGCACGCCAGGTGTTAGCGGCGAAGATGGGCAGCCAGCAGAGGAAGAACATGGCCACGATGACCACCAGCATGCGGATCACGCGGCGCTTGGCCGCCAGCTGCGCCCCCGAGCTGTTGATGCGAGCGCGGTCCTGCTGCGCCCCCAGCGCCCGCAGCTCCAGCGCGGCACTCGGGCGCGACAGCTGCAGGTAGCACCCGTCACCCTCGTCGCAGGCCGGCGCTGGGTCGCCCCCGGGGCCACGCTGGGCTGCGGAGCGAGGAGGCATGGTCACGGGCACGGCACCCCAGCACCCCTCCAGCAGGGTGGGACGGGGTGCAGGGGCATGGAAACGGCACCGTGGGGACATGCTGCACCCCGAGGCTACAAGGAGGTGCCCGGGAAAGGGGGGTGTCCCCGGGGAGCACACCCTGTGGGGAGCAGGGGTGAGGGCTCAGCCCGCCCCTCCTACTGGGGTGGGCGCTCTGCCCACTCAGGAGTCACCCCAAGTGTCACCCCCCGTGTCACCCCCGCCCCATCCCCTCACCTGCCACGTCCCCCTTGATGTCCAGCTCGAAGCGGATGCCCCGGTAGAGCTCGCGGGAGATGAGGCCGTACGCCACCGTCATCACCACGCCCGGGATGAAGAAGAGCACGAGGAGCAGCAGCACGTACCTGGGACAGGTGGCCCCGTCAGCCGGCGTCCCCCCCGGGCCGCGCTCCCGCTCCGTGCCCGCACTCACCAGGCCTGCCGGACGCGCTCGCTGGGCCAGTGGTGGGTGCACTGTGCGGGGGGCGGGCGGGGGGCGGCGGGCCGCGTGGTGCTGTACACGGCGTAGGGCAGCATCAGCAGCGCCGCCAGCGCCCAGGTGCCCGCGATGACGCGGCACGCGTGGGACCGCGTCTGCCAGGCGCGCGACTGCAGCGGGTTGCAGATGGCACTGTAGCGCTCGAGGGCGATGGCCACCAGGCTGAAGGTGGACACGGCCACCGAGACCCCTGCGGGCAGTGGGGAGCGTCGGTGGGCACGGCGTGACCCCCTCCTGGAGCCCCCCGCTGTACTCCGTGCTCCCACCAGGTAGGGATAACCCCCCCCGTGTCCACGGGGCAGGGACGAGCCCCCTCCCTGTGCCCCCAGGTACCCACAGGGCAGGGGTGAGGCCCCCCTGTGTGCCCCACCCTACCCATGAGAGGGGACAAACCCCCGTGTGCTCCTCCCCAGCCATGAGGGGTGACCAGCCCCCCTGTACCCCACCCTACCCATGAGGTAGGCCACGAGCTTGCAGACGACGTCTCCGAAGACGAAGGCGCCCATGAGGCCGGGCAGCAGGGTGAAGGGCATGCAGCACAGCGCCAGGAGCAGGTCGCTCAGGGCCAGGGACAGCAGGAAGCAGTTGGTGACGGTGCGCAGCCGCCGGTTCAGCGCCAGCACGGCCACCACCAGCGCGTTGCCCCCGACGCTCAGCACGAAGATCAGCACGTAGAGCACCACCCGCACCGCCACGTCCAGCTCTGCGGGCAGCGGGGCACGGCGCTGCACTGCCACCCCGGGGCACCCCGGGGGCACTCTGAAAGCACTCCCGAGGCCGCCACAGAGACACTGCCAAGGCACCCCGAGGGTAGCCCGGTGGCCCCCCAGACGCGCTCCGAAGGCACCCAAAGGCGCCCCAGCACAGGCCCAGGCACCGGGACACCAGGGCTCCGACGTGACCGGCGCGGGCTCGGTGGAGCCCCATCAGATGAGTGCATCGTTTCCCCCCGTGTGGCAGCCGCCGGGATTCGGGGTGAGCCCCACGGCCCTCGGCTCAGTTCCGTGAGGCTGAGGGACCCTCATCCAGCCGGGTGCCCCCATCCCGCCCACCCTCCGCCTCGGGGCTGAGCCGCGGCTCCCCCGGCGGCGCGGGGACGGGGCACGTCCTGCCCGGAGAGCGGAGTGACAATCCGGAGCAGGGGCCCCAGCCGGGGGGTGGGATGGGGTCGTCCCAGCCGAGGGTCCAGCTGGAGGTCCCGGCCCCGGCAGTGGAGCAGGGGTACGAGGTGGGCGCCGTGTCCGTGGCGTCCCTGCCGGAGTCCCCTCCGCCCTGCTGCCGCCACCGGCACAGCCCGGCGCGCTCCCCCCGGCAGCGCCAGATCCGCACCGGAGCCCCGGGCAGCGGGCGGCGCGGCGGGACGGAGCGCGGTGCCGGGCGGCGCAGGGCCGGGCACGGAGCGGGGGTCCCCGCCCGGCTCCATCCCGCTCCTTCCCCCCGCCCCCGCTCTCACCTCTGGGCGCCGGGGGCCCGCGGAGGCCCCTGCGGAGGAGGTCGCAGAGCGAGCCGTTGGTCCCGTTGCCGGTGCCGGCGCCGGGTCCGCTCCCGGTGCCGTTCCCGGAGCGGCAGAGCATCTCCTGCAGCGACTCGTTGAGGGGCCGGGGGTCCATGGCGGGGACCCCCCGCCTCCCCCCGCCCCTCCTCCGGCAGGAGGCACCGGGAAGGATCAGGCTCCGGGAGGCTCCGGGAGGGACGAGGCTCCGATCCGCTCGGAGCCGCCGGTGGATAGGCGGGGGCGGCGCCCGCCCGGGGCGGTGGGGGCCGGGCGGGGCCATGGAGAGTACCGGCAGCGGGGCTCGAGGAGTACCGGGGCGTGGGCTTCACCCCTAATCCCGGGCGGGTCGGGCAGCTTGGGGGGGAGCGCTCTTGAGCACCGGGCGACGGGACGACGGCCACCACCGCGGTGTCTGTCACCGCGTCCCTGCGGCTGCCCCGGCGGGGCTGGGGGTCCCGAGCTGCTCACCGCTCCCAAACTCCGTGACCCTGACCCGGTCCCATCCCGGTCCCGGTCCCGCAGCAGCAGCTGTCGGTGTCACCCGACAGCAGTGGTGGCTGCGGTGTACCCCCCCAGGTCACCCCTCAGCACCGCGGCACTAGTCCCGCGGCACCTCCACCCCTCGTGGGACCCCGACCCCCTGAGCCCCGGGGGCATCATGCGCCCCTCTGGATCTCTGTGACCCAGAGGGACCCTGTGCCCTGGGGAGAGCCTGTGCCCTGCTGGGACCATACATGCCACTGGGACCTCGCGGCCCCATCTGCCCCTGTGCCCTGAGGGGACCCTCTGCCCTGGGACCATGCGCCTTGAGGGGAGCCGGTGCCCCCCTGGGGCCGTACACGCCACGAGGACCCCGTGCCCTGAGGGGCCCCTGCACTGTGGGGCTGTCCTGTGCTTTGGGAGCACCTTGCATGGCGCTGGGACCCTGTGCCCTGTGGGGACCCTGTGCCTTGGAGGGGCCCTGCACCCCAGGGGGACCCCGTCCTCCTGCAGAACCTGGGTCCTGGGCAGGACCCTGTGCCCCGGGGGCACCCTGCGCCCTGAGGACAGCCTGTGCCTTGGAAACTTGCACTCTGGGGGGGCCCTGTCCCCCGGTGGGACCCTGTGGCCCGGCAGGCTGCTGCGGAGAGGCCGCTCCTGCTGCCCGGTGTGTCCTCACTGCCCTGTCCCGCACCGCCCCGTCCCGCAGCTGCAGCCGTCCCTCGAGGCGCCGGACGCGCAGGGCCATGCGCAGGGCCCCGGCCTCCAGCTGTGCCAGCAGCCGGGCTGCCCGCGTCTGGAGCCCCTCCAGGGCCCGCTCCAGCCCCCGCAGCCGCCGCTCCGCCGCCGCCCCGGCCGCCTCCGCGGCGGTGTCGAGCTGGCCCATGCGGAGCAGCAGCTCCCGGCCTCTGGCCTCCATGGCAGCGCGGGCGCGGGGGAACTCGGCCAGCACCTCCGCCAGGTCCTCCTTGCCCAGGCAGAAGAGGTCCGAGTAGCCGATGCTCAGGATGTTGGCCGTGCGCCGGTTCCCCGCCGCGTTGCCTGCGGGGCAGGGCCGTGAGCCCGAGGGCGGCGCGGGGCAGCGCCGGGGCGCGGCGCGGGGCTCACCCTTGATGTCGATGAGGCTGATCTCCCCGAAGTAGAGCCCCTCGCCCAGCACGGCCAGCTGCGTGACGCCGTCCTCGGCCACCACGGCCAGGCGGCCCTCGCGGATGAAGTACATCTCGCGGCCCACGTCCCCGCGCCGGCACACGAACTCGCCGGGCCCGAAGACCTGCGGGCGCAGGCGCAGCACCAGCTGCCGCAGCACGCCGGGCTGCCAGCCGCGGAACAGCCCCACGCGCCGCAGGGCCGCCATGTGCACGCCGGCCGCCACCTCGGCCCCGCCCCGCCAGCCGCCTGCCCACGCCCCGCGCCCGCAGGAACCGCCGCACCGGGCCCGCGTCGGGGTAGAAGGCGCTGGCGGCCGAGCTGAGGTTGACGATGACGGTGCTGATGCTGCCAGTGATGGTGGCGAAGACCAGCACGGCCAGGAGGAAGCCGGCGGTGAGGAAGAGGAGCTCCTCCTCGCGCCGCGGCTCCGGCGTGTCGCCCACCATGGCCAGGACCAGCGTGGAGAAGTAGAAGCTGTGCAGGTAGCGGCGCAGCAGTCGCGGGAAGGCGGGGCAGACCCAGGGGTCAGCGCCCAGCCCCAGGCGTGCCGACAGCGCGAAGTAGAGGCAGCCGTGCCAGTGGATGCCCAGCAGCAGGTACAGCATCAGCTTGGCCATGCGGAACGCGTTGGGCCAGGCCGTGCGCGTCTCGCACCGGTCGAAGGCCTCGAGGAGCCGCGGCACCCGCAGGCAGCGGTTGGCACGGGCTGCCGGCACCCCGGGCACCCTCGGGACCCCCGGGAGCAGACAGAGCAGCTCGGTGGGCAGCACGGCCATCACATCCCAGGGGAAGGTCCAGGAGCCCAGGTAGCGCCGCCGCGCCCGGCTGACATCCCGCACCAGGATGCCGTCCTCCAGGAAACCTGGGAGGGCAGCCAGGGCACCCCAGGGATCCAGCCTGGAGGGCAGGGGCTGCCCGGGACCTGCCTGGGATGGGAGAGGGCTCGCAGTGGGGCCCACGCAGGTGCCAGCCTGGGGCACAGGAACCCTGGGTGGGCACCCCGGGGATGCCACTGGCGGCTCCCTGGGCTGCCGTGGCGCTGAGTGGTGCGTGCCGAGACTCAAGACCACCCACCCACCCAGACATCCTCTGTGTGGGGCTGGGGGGTGGCTGTGCGGGGTGGGAGTGCACATGTGTGTGTGTGTGTGCACACCCGTGTGTCCATACCTGTGTGGAGGCGCACGCCGATGTCCAGCAGGTACAGCGTGTCGCTGAGCCCGTCCAGGGCCCGCCACAGCCCCGCGTGTGCCTCCTGCACCTCGGGGAAGCAGCACCTGGGGACGAGGGGCATGGCTGGGACGGGGCCGGGACACCCCACCCGCACCCCAAACCCCGCCTGGCACCTGAGGATGAGGACGACCCAGTTGTAAAGGATGGGCAGCACCATGAGGCTGAGCCAGCGGTAGTGCCAGTCCCCGGCGGGGTCCAGGCTCCAGCTCCGGGGGGTGCCAGGGCGGCTGGGGGCACAGAGGGACCGGGGGTTGCTCTGTCCCTGTGTGGGGTCCAGGCTCCGGTTCCGGGGGTCCCTCCATCCCCGTGTGGGGTCCCTGTGCCCGCACCCAGCCCGGCTGCTGGCGGCTCTGGGGCTCAGCCGGCCCCCAGCCCCGTGGGACGGAGGGGGTCCCGTACCCCGCCCCCGGAGGCAGCCGCGCCCCGCTCAGCCCGGCCCCGCTCACCCCGTGCCGTGCCCGGTGCCGGTGCCAGCCCCGGCTGCGGCCATGGCTCAGCGGCAGGGGGCCGAGGGTCCCGGCAGGATCCTTCCCAGCGGGGATCCGTGCGTCCCGGTCATGGGGGTCCTGCCGCCTGCCCCGGTACGGTACCGGGCGTGGCTCCTCGAGGGACGCGGCCCGCGGCTGCTGCGGCACCGGGCGTGTCCCAGCAACGAGGAGTCCCCCGGGACCCGCCGGCCCCTGGGACACCGTGCCAGGCAGCGCCGTGCCAGGCAGCGCCGTGCCAGCCCAGGTGTGCGGGCCCAGGTTAGCCTCCAGGAACAGCAGCCGGTGCCAGGCAGCGCCGGTGCAGAGCCGGCGGCGGCTCCCGGCACCTGGCACGGGCTGCCCGGTACAAGGTTATCGGGCACAAGGGTGCCCAGGCCAGGGAGGGCCCGTTTCTGGGCTGCCCGGGACAGGCGTTCTGGGAGTCCCGGCACCGGGTGCCCGGTTCCGAGCTGCTCCGTTCCGGGAAGTGCTGTGAGCAGGGTTATCCGGTGCAGGGTTACCCGGTGCTGGGGTGGCTGGGCCGGCGGGGTGCCCGGTTCCGAGCAGTGCCCGAACTGGGTCTCTCGGTGCCGGGAGCCCCAGCACCTGCGTACCCGGTCACCGCTGCCCGGCGCAGAGGGGCTCCCGGTTCCTGAGGATGTTCCCTCCGGGGGTGCTCGTACAGGATACCGCCGGTCCCGGTACCGTCTGTCCCGGTGCCGGGTGTTCCGGTGCCGGGTGTCCCGGTACCGCCTGTCCCGCTGCCGGGTGTCCCGGTGCGGGTGTCCCGGTGCCGTCTGTCCCGGTGCCGGGTGTCCCGGTGCCGGGTGTCCCGGTGCCGGGTGTCCCGGTACCGCCTGTCCCGGTGCCGGGTGTCCCGGTGCCGCGTGTCCCGGTGCCGCGTGTCCCGGTGCGGGTGTCCCGGTACCGCCTGTCCCGGTTCCCGGTTCCCACGCGCCCCGGCCCCGCCCCACTCGCGGCCCAGCCAATGAGCGCTCGGGCTTTGCCGGAGAGGCCCCGCCCACCGAGGCGCGTGGGCGTGGCCGGGCGCGGTGGGCGGGGCCGC